CTCGCTTTACTTTTCACCAGGCTTTTGTATTAGGAAACTTTGTGCCCTTCACATGCTTTGACTGACCTTCCACTCACCTGATGAATATTCATGAACGTTCTCAAATTTAAAATCCTTGATAAATCAGTGATATACTTGCCTTTGTATATAAACACGTGCAACAAAATAAATCCTACATTGCCTTAATTAAATCGCTCAGAGGAGAAAACGCATTGGATAAGTATAGTTTTTCGTCTTGTCTTTTTATTCACTGTTCTCCTATACGGATATACTCTATCTGGAGTTATTTGAAAAGCTGCGATCACTTCAACACCCGGCATGTGGCAAATCGTGCACCAGTACAGGCTATGTTGTTTTCATTCAGAGGGCGTGCATGTGCTGCCTATGCAATGACCACTAGAAATAAGTCCTGTGCAGGTTGTTAAGTAAACAGAACTCGAGGAAAAGGGCCCAAGCAAATTTTCATGTCTAAAATTTTGCAAAACATCTGCAGACCTCGGGAGAAGCATGAGAGTCCACAGAAGATGATTACCCCTTTATTTTACTGAGGCCTCATTTACCTACCACACACACACACACACACACAGTTGTGCAAATTAATTTTCTACCTTTTAACATTCCGTCAGTTTTAGACCAATTGAAGTGACAGGGTGTAATCGATTTGTATTTTTTCCTCAGATTAGGTCATTTGCAGTGGTGTGCAGTAATATGAATCTATTTTCGGGGTGTATGATGAAATTTGTTTGGCCTCGAAAAATATTGCGTCACCAGTGATTGCATCAGATTTTCATCACGCCCACACACTATTGTCTCGACTGTCGATTATTTCTCCTACGGCTATTGTTTGGACGTTACTCCAAGGAAGCGTACGAAAATAGTAACGCTGCATGAACACACTGGCAAGCATTACCAGTGAGCAAAGCAAGGTACTATAGACTGGTCCGGGAACTCTCCTGATTTAAATCCAATCGAGAATCTGTGGTCAATCTGCAAGTAACGGCTTCGTAGAACGGATCAACGAAGTATTTACATGTGCACTGAAAAGTATTTACATGTTCATTGGAAAAATACGAAAAATGTAAAAAATATAGGAATTATTCGTTTTGTTTCAATTAATTTGCATAATATATATATATATATATATATATATATATATATATATATATATATATATATATATATATATATATTGATATATATTATAAAATGAGTAGGTATGAGTTCGAGCACAATTGTGTGTAGAAAGTTAGAAGTAGATACATTTATGTATATGCATAAATACCTTATAATTATTTTTGCAATTTTCTGAAAAATTCGGTGTAATGAAAAAACAAGGCAATTTCTTGAACATAACGTATAGAACGTTTTCAAGACAAAAATGTTTGCCCGATTCACAAAATACCACACCCCTAACAAACTAGTAGGCGTCCGTGGTAAAATACACAGTCATATATGTCATCGAACGAGGCAGTGAAAGTGAGACATTTATTTCCTTATAGAACATGTGCCATGGAGTAATAGGTTACATGGTATAAGGAAACACACACAAAGGCAAGCGCGTGTGGGATATTGTAGGAAAATGGTATCGTATACACACACACACACACACATACACACACGCACAGGCGTACACACACACACACACACACACACACACACACACATATATATATATATATATATATATATATATATATATATATATATATAAATATAAAAGTGAACATTGAAGTCAACACAAACAATCTGTCGCCTCTGAGTGTCGATTAAATGTTCAATTTTATATTTACATAAGCTCTGTCTCTGATATTGAGCACTTTATCCATAAATATAGCACACCTTAAAACTATATTCTATCATATATATATATATATGTGTGTGTGTGTGTATGTGTGTGCGTGTATATGTGTGTGTAAAGAGAGAGAGAGAGAGAGAGAGATTAATGTGCATTTAAGAGCCTATCAGTACCTAACGTCATATTATCTGTTTTCATAATATAAAAGAAATATTAAATATCAACCAATAATAATATTCTCAGTCCCTTTCATTGGAAAGTAAATTTAGCGCACACCATCTACCACCAACCACCCAACATGACCCCAAAATCAGCCCTACTAAAATGCGAAAAGTGAACTCCAATGTTAATCTATGTGTGTATAACGTTTTTGAACATTTTCTTTTATTGTGGCACAAGTGACATCATTTTGGACATTTTCGACGCAAAACAAGTAAGCAAAAATTCGGAAAGCGTTTCTATTTAGACTTTAATATCCATGCTTGATTATGAAACTGATTAATTAATTTTATCGTAATAATAAAACCTGTCATGAAACACACACACACACACACACACACACACACACACATATATATATATATATATATATATATTCGGATAAACTTATATATATATATAAATTTATATATAATTAAATATATATATATATATATATATATATATATATATATATATATATATATATATATATATATATTCGGA